AGACATTAAACAAGAACAATCAGATACATTTGTCCCTAAGAAAAATACTAAAAAATCTGTACAAAAAAATGAAATGTTTGATGAAAAAGATTTGTTAATAGCACAATTACAAGAACAAGTTAGTAAACAAAAAGAATGTATATTATACTATGAAAGTATAGTACAACTTATGAATTATAAACTTATGAAACTGAAGAAAGTTCTTAAAACCCATCAGTTATTAAAAGAATTGGATTCATAGTTTTATTTGGAACGAATACTTAGCGATGGTTAGTCCTTAAAATATTAAATAGTAGTAAACAAAGTTTTGTATTAGGAACATGTGTATTTTTATATTTGTACTGTTAAGAAATATGTATTTATACATATTTGTGGACATCTTTCTAATACAAAATCCAATGTTTCAACAACAAATATTGTAATATTTAAGATGTAAATATATATAAAGACTGACATGTGTATTATGTAGAATTTTATGTTTATTGAAATGTTTTAAATTTATCTTAACACAATAAAAATTTTAAATGAGCTAAACTTTTTTTAAAGGTGAAATCTGTTTAATCTCTTATATACAACTAGAAAATAATACTATCATAATGTCATTGTACAGTCCATATACAGGAATTAAAACATAAAATATAAACATTGGACATTTTTGGAATTGTTACATACTGATTCTGTTCATTGGTAGTTTATTGTAAATGTTATGAAATGTATTGTAATTCTCAAAAACTATTTCATTTTTAGATCTGTTTGGTAATTATTAAAAAATTTTGTGCACTTTAAAACTATGGATGTCTTGCTGAAGATACTACTTCTTATATGCTATTTTATTTTATTTTATATTTAAGTGTTGTCAATATACCTCATTTGTTAGGATCATATTAACATTGTACATATAATTTGTTTACCCATTAAATTGGATACATTTAAATGTAATGAATGTGTAATTTAAAAAGAAAATTATGAAATGTTTATAATAGATAAATTATGTTGAATGTCTCAAATGATGTATTAATTTTTATTGACCTTAATTTGTACTGTATGCTTTACTACTTTTGAAAAGGTAATATTTCTGTTAGATTTTTTTAGTTAGAAAATCAATTGAATGTACATCTATGTTTACTTTGATGTTATTTATTCTGAAAAATGTGATAATAAATAAAAATTATTAAAAATTACACAAAATACAAAAATTTAATTTATTTATTATTTTAAGTAGCAATATACGCCATTACAGGTCGGCGTGCGTAAAAGAAAGTATTAAAATGTTGATACTACAAAGTATAAAATAAACTGTATTTTACAATACTCATGTACTGAAATATAATAAATAAAATTATTAGTAAGAGTAAAATAAGTCAATACTTTAAATGTTCAAGATCATTTTTTCGCATTGCATGTTTATAAAATACATAATATTTAATTTATATCTACATATTACTTGTAATTATCAAATTCAAATACGAATTATGTTACGAATTACAATAACATGCCTTTATAGCATATTTAAATTTCTCAGTACTGTTGTACTTTTAATATTTTACATTCGAATTTTAGCACATTTTATGAAACTCTGAAAAAAATACAAACACTAACGTATAAACGAAACTAATCCTCATTTATTGAATATTAATAGCAAAGTGCAAAGGACCGTCGACAAATTACGAACAAGCTACTATGGCGTATCATCGAGATTAAGTTTCAAACGATAAACTAAATATTTTTCTTTAACGCACAAGAAAAATACGTATATTATATAGTGCAGAAATTTCGATATGCATATTATTTATTTGTATATTGCTACTTGAAAAAGTTCATAAAATGCAGCACTGAAAATGACGTCTCCGCAGTTACTTTACAGCAGTTTCATAAATAGTGTAATCTTTGAGTCCTATTTTTTTGACTTTCATCCCTTTAAAAAGGGCGATAGAACGTAATAATATACATGTTACAAAATCAAAACGAAAATGCTTATAAAAGTCTCTGCCTCTTCGATTCTTAAAATGCTATCACACAAGCATACGTCCCATGGACTATACATCTGCGCGATAGTACGAAGTTCTATTCTCTTCCAGAGCAAAAAATAGAAATATTTCGCAAATTCTGGTCCGCAAACAATTATTCAGCGGCAAAAATTCAAATTCTGCTTGTTATTTTGTATATGTACAAGCAAAGAGGTATTTTGTCAGTGTACATCCACATGGCATTTCTACTAGTAATCCGCCTGCATTGATAATCGTTGATTGTTACTTGGTTTTAATGGTGTTGTACAGCGACGCGCATCTGGAAATCTCTCGTGATATCTTTCCAATCTCAGGTACTTTACAGTTACTAAATGACCTGAAAGAATGTTGTGTTAAATATATAAATATTAAGAATATTATATTCAAACTTTGATGAAAATACTCACCATCGAACCAACATCCATGTAAAGCCCTATAAGCTTTTCCTGCATCTTCTTGTGACATACATTTCATGTAAACACATCCTTCTCGACTACCACGATCTACACGAATGTGAAGAATTTTCACACCCTCCCCGCATTTTTCTAGAATAGCATCCTGTACCTTTGTCTCCCAATCATCTTCGAATTCTCTAAAGCAATAGAAATATATATAAACATATATAAACAATATTAAAATGTATGATAGGAAATCTAGTTGAAACACTTACACATCAGCATCAAACATATGCCGTATCTTTAAGCATGGTGTTGGTGAGCAAGTCAAACTATTAACAGAACCTTCCATTGTTTCAAATGCTTGACCTTGCCATACTTTAGATTTTTTGTTCAGAACAAAATTTTGGGTGTTTGATTTGCTAAGACTATTATTAGGCAACCAACGCCACACGTGAAATTCTTCTCCCGCAACCTGTTGCACTTCTCTTCGAATTCTGAAATTGAACACTTCTATTCGGAACATGGAAATGCATTTTACCATAGAAATTTAGAAAATACTTTTTCTTTTTCTTCTTTTTTTACCTAGATTCATTTTCATCCAAAAATTTCACTGCTTTTTCCCAAAGTCCAGCCATTTTTTTCCGATCTTTCGGAGGTATAAGATTGTCACGTACATGATTTATAGCAAGAAAACTTTCTGGAGTGCCACCAGGGCTTGCAATAGCCGCATTTTGATGGTGTATCTCAACCATGTTAATAATCTCACTAACAAGCTTAAATACTTCTCTTTCGGTACTTTTCTTATACCTTATATACCAAACGAATAATTTCTGCATTCCTATAGCTGTTAGAAGGCCTAAGAATATATTGCAATATTATTTATACATGATACTAAATTATTACGATAAAGAATATAATAACATACACAATGTATTTTTAATGTAAAGTTATCACACAACGTGCATGCTAAGCTTTGCGACATTGCATGCATAAGAAAATCGCATAACAAACATTATTGTAACAACAAAGGAAAAATTTACTAATACGACAATTACAGCAATTAAAGTATTAAACTTATAACAAAACGCAATGCTTTAAAGTATAACATTATTGCGTTGTAGAACGTTATCTTTTACTCTCAACAAACTTCTTCCCATAATAAGTCGGTCAAAAATTTACCAAGTGACACGATTAGAAGGGAGGAGAATATGGTGAAAAGTTTGTTCTTGATAAGACATTGCATTGGCAACTCCGGGTTTGTAATTATCATACCAACTTTCCCATTCAGACGAGTAGAGAATAATTTATCCTGTAACAAAGGGATGCCTTTTTCTTTAATTTATATACGTTACAAAAGCATAGTAGATGAGTATGAACAATCGAGAAACTTTTTTGCAATACCAAGGAATCCAGAAAGTCACCAGGGTTTCCATTATCGTCACTTATATCTATGAGAGAAATGCCCCATTTAGGATTCTTAATGACGAGCAATTGTGCGTTTTGCAAATCCTCTTTCACTTCCAGGCTCGTCTGTAAAATTATTTAATTAATATCATATATAAGAACACATAATAATTATTATTTCGTTTTGATCAGTTTAACATACCACTTTAGTACTCGTGAACATTTGCATGATTTCGGAATCAGTCAAGTAAGGAGTTTCACTGGAATTGTCACATATCATGGACACAGCTTTTTTCGTTAAAATTGGTTGAAGTCGTTTCAATAGTTGTAATACGGAATCTACGTTTTCTTTCATTACGCAGTTAACTCCAGGCGCTTCAAGGTCATCTCCAAGAAAGCATAATGGTATGTTGCTATCTATAAATTGAAATATAAGACTAAAAACAATTAGCAAAGTTTATGAAATTCACATTTTAATTTATACTTAAAATTTTTTAAGAAAGATGCTGTACATTCTTGTATTTATTTCATGCATACAAAAAAGGAAAATCTTTCAAACATCTTAACTAAATGATAATAATATAGAATATAGGATAAAATCATCATAATGGGAAAGGAAATAAAATATCAAAATTAATACATCAGTAATACTTATTATTTTATTACACATGTTAAAAAAAACAATACATATCTTAAGCAGAATGTTATGAAACTGATTATACATTGTTCAATTTTAAAGAACACGAGATTTATATAAAATGATTAAAATTTACAAGTCACTAAAATAATTTCTAATGTACTTAAAATCTTTCTGTAAGTCTAACAATTTTAATACAATAACGTGCATCATGATGAATAAATTTCATGTAATGATTAGTAAAAAATAAATTTTAATAAGATTTATAGACCCTGTCTTTAGAAAACGCAATTGTTATACAATACAAAATTATATACTATATCTTATATGTTAATAATTGCTTGATTCTCATACATTAAAAAACTTGAAAGTATAAACATTATACATATTGCAATGTATTTAGTAATAAGTTTATTGAAAAAGCTTTCCCATATACTGTTAGTTAAAATATATAATTTGCATTGTATTTCTTCCAGTATTTCTCTGTATACATTATTTAAATGTTACAATTCTGAATACCTACCCGTTGAAAGTGATGGAAAGGTCTCTGTTTTTCCACCAAGTCCCATGTATATAACAGCGAGAATTCCAAAAAATAAAGCAAGTACCACTACCAAGATCACGGACACCATATTGTGGTTATTTCGTACGTCTTCCCTATTTGTTTTTGATGGTTTAAACATTCTATTCACTGTTTCCCGAGGTCTATCAATAGATGATGTGTGTCTAGAACTGATGAATGAATATTTATATCATCATATAATACAAGCATAGGTTAATCCAATGTACACATACCTTGGGTTTGATGAGGAATATAGTGATTTTAAAGAAAAGTGACCATTTGAATCCTTTTCTTTCAATTCTGGTATATTTGATGTAAAGCGTGAAGATGGACCTAAAAAGTAATGTGTTAAATAGTGGATTATCAATTTAATAATATACATTATATACTAATTATAAAAATTTACTAAAACTTACTTTTTATATTGGAAAAAGATGTGGAAGGTAAATTTATAGATGATCGTGAACTAAGCCTCCTGGTAAATTCTGACAAAAATGGTGTTTCATAATTTGCCAGAAGGTCTTTCTGACTTGTATTGTCTTTTATAAATACATCTTCATTTGGAGACTGTATTGGAGAAAGATTTGGATCGAAAAGTAATTCACTATATTTGTTGTCTTTTATTGTATGAATACATCTTGATTTTGAATCATATGGTTTTGAAATTTGTTCTTGATCAGAAACATTATGTTCATAGATTCTAGAATCATGAGATTTTCCAATATTTGATAAATACTTAGATGGAGAATATGTTTTAGTTGTTTCTTCAACAACATCTGAATCTGAACCAGTTTCTAAGCCATCAGTTATATTTGATGTTTTATTCATTTTTACATATTTTTTATGCGTACTTTTTGTTACTGTACGTGTTGTAAAGGTTGAAGGACTATCATAATCTGGTGCTATAGGATCCTTAAATTCAGATTGTGTCACTTTATCTTTAACTGGACTTTTTGATATGCTTACATCAGAGGATGATAAACCTGATGCTGGTGGAGGCATTGGATTTGCTAGAGTTTGTCTTCTAGCACTTACTGTTTGTTTATTCTTTTTACTTGTTGTTGAACTTGTGTCATCATCTGTGTCCTCACTGCTGTATCTGATACAAAAACAGAATTAAATAAAATTTTATTATAAAACTCATTTAAAAAATAATCGTTTAAAACTATACATAAGATAATACGAAAATATGAAAAGTAAAACTTCACATAGGAAAAGCCTTTTAATGAAAGTAAACAAAAGAAATAACAGTAAAACTGAAAATATCGTGTTTAATGACATTTAAGTTTAATAATATGAAAATCCAATCATATTGGTGTTGTAAAGAAATTAAAAAATTGTAACGATATAACTAACTAAAAGTACCTGGCAGCCAATGAATGTCGTGACCCTGTACCACCTCGAGATTCAATGAGAGTTTTTAGCTTTTTCACAAGAATTTTTCTGGTGGTTTGTGTTACCGGACCCACTGGATATCCATATTCCATCAGTTTGCTACGCAATTCTGAATCACTTAGAGTATCCACCGACATTTTGTTTACAGAAAAAAAGTACTCCTCTCAAAAGAACCCGGTAAAAATGTTGCCTCGTGCACGAAGCTCCAGTTACTACTTCTACGAAGTGTACTCAGAATTTCGCCCGATGGCAGTCACTCCTTTGAGAATTCACACTACCACTAAATTACACACGTGCCACCTCTTAAAATGTCATAAATGTTTAGCATAACACTGTAACACTCGGAAAATAACTTGGTTACAACTAAAAAATGGCGCAATTTTCTAACGGTCGCGATCGCGCGCATACTCGTTCACACCATTTCACGCTACTCAACCCTGTCATCCATAGTCATAGAATAGGGTTTATCGAGATAATCTACCCGGTTTACGGAGCTTATGTTAGCCTGTCATTAAATTTTTTATGTGACTTCGCATCTAAAATCAATTTAACGTTAAAACTATTTCTTTTCACAACATATTGTATTATTTCTTCAAGTGAAGAAACTTTATATTTATATCATAAAAAGTTTAGGTATTTAAATACGTAAATTCAGTAAAATTTTCAGCGAGTTACACATCATTGATTTGTGATTTTTGGAACGGTATTTTGGAATGTGCTTGAGCAATGTCAATGCTTACGCGCTAATTATAGAACGCACATGCAATCGTGAATTACGCATAGCCTTTATTATGAAAAAAGAAAAATAGTGCTATAAATAAACATAATTGTTGTAAATATATACTTTATGTCAATATAAAATACCACATGTAACATTATACTTACTGGCAATATAAACGTTAAAAATAAATCTAAATAAATTTCATATTGCGATTTGAAATGATAGGAAAATATTTTCCTTTTCATTGTTATCTCCCCTTTTTCATTGTTTTATCAAATATTGTTTACATGCTAACACAGTATCATACAAAGGCTTTTTGTCTTATTATGATCTTTTTGTTAGTAAAATTCGTTAATATTTATATTAATAAAAGAACTACTTTATTATTTAAATGTTTTACAATATGTTTAGTATCTTAACAAATACATTCCATGTCTTATTAGACAATAATCTGGCAAATTTTCAATACGACCAAGAGCTACAATAGCTGGAGTTTGATCATAGATATATATTTCAGAGACTTCCCTTATTTTGGCTGCTGTTATGTTCTACAATGTGACATTGTTACTTATTTTAAACTAAACAACTAATTACTTAATAAATAAAATTTTACCTTATATTGTATAATTCTTTGTTCAAGTGGTTCATAACATCCATATCTATAAATACTTTCAACAATGTTAAGAAAATGATTTATTGGATCATTCAATATCTCTAAGTCTTTTGTTATGCATAGATTAACAGCACGAGATACTTCTTTTTCAGTTATTGTTGTACATAATTTCATCCATTCTCTTTGTAATGTACCAATCATATACTACACAAACATTTCATAAATAAAAATCCATAATAATAAAACATTTTTCCAATATTTAAAATATACCTGAAGACATAATTTGTCACAAACAAAATAACATCCCCAAATACTGGTAGTCTTTGCAAAATTATGAAAAAAAGATTTGTACAATTCACACAAATTTGTATTGTATGCTAAGTGTGCAATATATGGTGCATTATGATTCATCCCACCTAAAGGTAGATATAAATATACAATGGTTTTCATTAAATTGCCATATTGTAAAGGGATAGAATGTTAGCTTACTATATGTTCTGTCCCAAGAACCTACAATTTCTTTAGCTACAGTAAGAGCTAAATGATCTTCACGTTGTTTATAACTTGGTCCTTCAACTCCTATATATATTTATAAAAAAATATAATAAAAAAGAAATATCAATAAATTTGTTTCACCTGAGAATCGGAACTCAAGCGTTTCTCTATCAGGTTGCATTTTGTTATTATCAACACAGCAAGAAAAATGTTTTCCAACAATTTTTTGTAATTCACACAAGGAAACAGATCCAGTACATATCATTGTTATAAAACATGTTTGTAACAAACGTCTTCGAAATTCAATTAAACTTTGTGTACAAAATTTTCTGCAAATTTAACATTGCAATTACTAAATAAATATATATACATAATATTTCATAAGCAGTTTTTGTAATCATATATACTCCTAATACTTACTTTATTACATTTGTTTTAGGATACACACTGTTAGCAAGAGCAGTACCATCATATGCAACACTTGGTAAATAATCCATCACAACTTTTTCTTTGTCTGATGTCATCTGAAAAAGTTCATGTAAAATTCTGCATTTTTCTAGGGTAACATCTTTATCACCTGAAATATTGAAATAATATGAACATTATATAAGCAGATTTTATACAGCAGCATAGAATTTTGTGTAATTGCTTTTTCTTCACTTACATATTACACCATTTAAAATTACGTCTGCAAATAACTGAATGAGTTTCTCTATTTTACATGAAATTACGGTTCCATAAAAAAGGAACATATCTCGCAAAGCAATAACTTCAACTCTTGCACCAATTTCTTCTAATAGATTTGCTAATTGTTCCTGGCTGTTGCATTTTGTTCTCTATATGAAATGCCAAGAATTCCCTTAGAACCTATAACTAAGCACTGAATTATATGTATCACATATATTTTTTGCTTTACCCTGAAAAGTAAATGTTCCAAAAATAGGGTACAACCGCGTTCTTCAGATTTTTCACACATTGTACCATTTGAAATAAAACATCCTATGGTGGTTGTAAAAGTATTTCTGTATTCGCATACAAGACGCATACCGTTGTCCATATAGGAAGATTCTATTGAACTTCGTAAATCCGAATATGTGTTTAAAATTTTACTCATTTTCCTAGAAGTGCATTTACAGTCTTGAGGTGTTTTATAATGCTTATTTGATACAGAAATAAATCCCTTGAAAACGAATTCAATATAGCATTATCTTTAATTCTTTCTCCAATTGACATAAACAAATAAATATAACACGTACTCTTTCAATGTATTTATATACAATATTTCCTTTCATTCTGCATAAATATCTTGAAACTGCTGTCATTTTTATTTCAAGTTAACTATGCAGAACATAATTCAAGTTATATTGA